CCCTACCCTGAGCGTGACTGAGGGTGGCATCGCAACCTCCCAATCCGCCCTGCTCTGTGCATGACAGAGGGTGGTGCCCCAACTCCCCAATCGGCCCTGCTCTGAGCCCCACCAGGGGCTGCACCTACGGATTGGGCCTGCCCTCTGCCACCTGGGAGCAGGCGTAAGCCAGCAGGTTGTTATCTCCCAAGGGGTCCCAGACTGCGAGAGGGCACATGCCGGGCGAATTTTTGTGCACCTGGCCTCTAGTTTAAATATAAAAGAATTTAAGTTTGAGAGAGTGTCACTTGAATGTAAAGGATTTTTGTCTCTCTTGTTCATTGTTTTATCCTTCTACCTAGAACAGTGCTGAGTATAAGGAAGATGCTCAATAAATCTTGTTGAATAAATGACTGAAACATTACTTAGAAATATTTAATTTTATTTACTCATAAAAGTTACTTTAGTGAAGAACTTAATGCTTCCCAGTCAGAGGTAAGGGGATTTGAAAAAATGTCAAGGTAGTTAATTAGCTAGAATGCTAGGCCAATTGGAAGGACAGAGAAGGTGATTTAATACCTAGGCAGTGGGGAAAGGTCAGATTAATAGAGTGCTTGGATTTCATACAATAGATACAGGGAGGCTTTATGAATTATTGACCAGAGTGACATAATAACAAAGTGAATACAGTTATTTTATTTAGGTGCTGTTTGTAAAATGGATTGTAGCTTGAGGTAAAGAAACATTGGAAACAGTGAACAGTGTTAGGAGATTGTTGTAGGACAAGTGACGGCGAACCTATGACACGCGTGTCAGAGGTGACACACGAACTCATTTTTTTGGTTGATTTTTCTTTGTTAAATGGCATTTAAATATATAAAATAAATATCAGAAATATGTCTTTGTTTTACTATGGTTGCAAATATCAAAAAATTTCTATATGTGACACAGCACCAGAGTTAAGTTAGGGTTTTTCAAAATGCTGGCACCCTGAGCTCAAAAGATTCACCATCACTGTTGTAGGAGTTCAAAGCAGTTTAGCTGTTTTCATTAGTATGTTATCTGCTGATACCTTTAGCAGATACCCTTCTTTGAAGTGTGATGTCTCCACTTTATGACCTATGTCTGGATGGAGTCAGGAGGAAGAGTTCTACACTGAGAAGCAATAGGGTAGGATTCTAGTTCCTACTTCTCTACTTTCTAAATTCATGATCATGGATAAATACTTGGACATCAATCATCTAAACTATAAAACGAGGAAGTAATGATCTGAAAGACCACATTATTTTTTGGTGTCCTTACTATTGTTATGTCAGTTATAGATTGTGTGAATAATGAATACTCTATTTTGTTTTCTAATATTAATTCTTGCAACTAGAGTATTTTAAGAAGAGAAAAGCCCCATAATGATATTTAATATTTACAAACTTATAAAGGCTAGTATTATGTGCATCGACTGCTATATTTTAAAATATGTATTTCTGTTTTTATATGTGCTATTATTGGGTATTTAAATTTTTTAGGATTACTAGACTGTAATAGTACCCAAGTTGACGAACAAAACTTCAGCCTGGGATACTTTTAAAGAAAATTGAAGAATATTAAACTTCTAAAACATAATGTGTTTTGTAAAACTATAGGAGCAATAACATTGTTTCATTAATATTACTAGAAATCATAATTTCTCCCTTATTTTGATACTAAATACACTATATGTATATTTACTTTCACACATACATTTTTGCTTAGAAGGTTTTAATACCAGCAGCATTGGGGTTCTCTCTCTCTTTTTTTTTTCTTTTTCTTTTCTCTCTTTCTTTCTCCTTTCTTTGCTGCTGTATTCCCTTCTGTTTGGGTTGTTTCTTGCCCTCCCTCCCACTACCCCAACCCCCTTTAATCTATCTGGAAAGATGAAGAGGCAACTGTTATGGCAACTATGCATTTTGGTTAATGAATAGCAGACTAACAAGATACATAAAACATATGCAAATTGTACAGAGTTGCTGTCAAAGCTGGAGGATAATACTTTTTCTTCTAAAAGTAAAACACTTTAATTTTCCTTCGTATTTTGTTTTATAATTTACCATTCCTAATATTGAAATGCTAACATGAACTATTTCTTTTTTTGCTTAGTCTGCAGAAGATTTCACCTGTGATGAATTTATGGGGATGAGTTGAGATGCATAGAGGAGAAGAATTGATTAATTAGGTTAAGAATTGGATTTCCTTTACACTCATACGGAGAAGAACAGAGACAAAAAGTTTTACTAAATATTTTGGTTTTGACCTATAACCTTTCTCCCCTTGCTTTTTGGCAATTAGTGCTCCTTTTGAGTCTCTCTGTGGGATTAGAACTAATAAGTAGTATTTTCTTGAAGATGTTTCTATCATAAAGGGCAGCTACAACTGGAATATTGCATTCAGCCAAGCCTTGAAAATTCCTGTAATCTGTACCATCCTGTCTCATACTGTCCCATCTCATAGTTGTCCTCTCTCTGCAGTGCTCTATGCCCAGGTCTCTGTGGCTGGGCTGCTCCAGCCTGGCGGACAGCATGCCTTCGCTGCGATGCCTGTATAACCCAGGGACTGGCGCACTCACAGCTTTCCAGGTACTTTCTCTGTCTCTGAGGGTTATTTGCGGGCTTCAGTGTGTGTGTCTAATTCATGAGTGTGTCCCTCCTTCTTTTCCATGCTTTACTTATGGTCGCCTTTTCTCCTTCATATCGTCTTTATTTCACGTCACTCGGTACTCTTTAATGATTAATTTCTAATGTAGATCCAGATTGATTCACTCCTAAGACATTTTTATTATCATGATTGGTTTGTCAAAGTTGACATAGCACAACTTTTCACTATTGGTTTTCATATCTAGCAGAAGTATGATAGTGAATTTTAAAGTAATCTCAACATATAGCATTTGATATGTAATGTTTGCTCTGGACCTACATAAAGATAAGTAATGTGATTAATCACTTATAGCCAGTTGCTCAAATATCTTCTTATGTTTTTCTTATGATTACCAAAAATATAAAGTGCTCTGTCTGAGTGTCTTCTGGTTACTATACTACTATAAATATATGTATACACTCCTTTTTTTGGTAAGAACTGTGTTTGTTTATTTTTTTATTTGTTTTTAATCTATGTAGCTTATATTTTCTGTAGAAGAATTTCAAAGGTATGCTTAAGTAAGCATCAGAATGCTTATAACTAAGTCTTAGTTAAAAGAGGGGAACTTAAGTATTCCACACTCCTGAACAGTGGTAACAGTTGCTAGTCTTTAATGATACTATTTTAGTGATGATAATGCTATATAGTATTTCTAATTGTCCTTTGCAAAATATAATATTAAAGTTCCTTTGCTTGTCTTATCAGATACAATATAGTAAAGTATATAGACTTTAAAATTAGTTTAATCAGGGCTTGCATACTGTCTCTCACTAGTGGTATGGTCTTGAGCAAGTCATGTAATCTTCATGTTCCTCATCTGTAAATGAAGACTATAGTAAAGACATGCAATAAATGGTTGCTGTTTTTATCATCTTCATCTTCATCATCATTAGCATTATTGCTGTGTTACAGAATATTGATATCCTGAGAATATCAATTGTTTCAAATATCTTCTATTTTTTACATTGTATTATATTGATAAAGTTTCTGCTCTCAAGAAACTTTATTTTGTTGGTTTTTAATCTTTTTTTTGGGGGAGGGGTGCTTTGCAATGAGTTTAACCAAACTGCAAGAATAGTTCCTAAAAGGCTGCCCTCACTTGAGATACCAGTTTCAGGGTTAGGAGCCCCCACTACCACCCTCAGGTTTGACAATTCACCAGAAAACACTCACGAAACTCACTGGAAGCTATTATATTTACGTTTTATTACAGGAAGAAGATACAGGTTAAAATTAGCCAAAAGAGGAAATATATAGGCAAAATCTGGAGGGGTCCAAATGTTGAACTTTCTGTCATCCTCTCCCCATGGCATTGTGGATGGCATTACTGCTTTCAGGCCACAGTATGTGACAATACGTAGGATGTTGTCAACCAGGGAAATTCACCCAAGCCTTTGGTGTTCAGAGTTTTTATTTGGACTCAATTACAAACTGCCCACATACTGACCTTTAGTCTTTAGCCCCTCCTGTCAATCATACTAATGCTTTTAGTCTCCATTTCCTCGTAGGATTGGAACTGCTAAAGTGTGGCACAAAGCCCCCATCATGAATCACATATGTCCAATGGCCAAAGGCCCCAGGCAAGAAAAAACACTCCTTTTAGGTAAGAAGTTCCCGGGGCCTAGATACCACCTTCCAGTAGCCAAGGTCAAAGGCCAGAACTCTCTTTGGATAAGGGTAATTTTCCACTACACATAGGTTAGGGACTACTTTGACGACCTGATGATAACTATTGATTTTGGAAAAACACTGCAACACATAGGCAAAATTTTATTGAGTAGTTTTGTATATAGGATTATATTTATACTAAAGGCCCGGTGCATGAATTCATGCACCAGTGGGGTCCCTCAGCCTGGCGTGCGGGGATCAGGTCGAAACCGGCTCTCCAACATCCCCCGAGGGGTCCTGGATTGTGAGAGGGCACAGGCCAGGCTGAGAGACCCCACTGGTGCATGATCAGGGCCGGGGAGGGACGTGGGAGGTTGGCCAGCTGGGGAGGGACTGTGGGAGGGCTCCAGGGTATGTCCAGCCCATCTCGCTCAGTCCCAATTGGCCAGACCCCAGCAGCAAGCTAACCTACCAGTCAGAGCATCTGCCCCCTGGTGGTCAGTGCACATCATTGCAACTGGTTGACTGGTCGACTGTCTGCCCCCTGGTGGCCAGTGCACATCATAGCAAGAGATTGAGTGGTTTTAGCATGTTATTAGCATACTACACTTTGATTGGTTTAACAGACGACCGGACACTTAGCATATTAGGCTTTTATTATATAAGATTTTACTATGAGAGAGCTATTAAATCACATAATTCTAAAACTAATCTCCCAAACTGATAAACCTATGAAGGAAATGTGCAGGGAGCCATAAGAATAAGAATATATAAAAGAGGAACCTGATTTAACCTGAGGGTGGGGATAAAGATGTTCAGGTAATCAGTGTTCAAGAAGGAATTAATTAGGGAAAGGGGACAAGGGGGGAACATTTCAGGCCTAAGGAAGAAGCAGTGGAAAGGCCCTGAGAACTGATGGAAGTTGGTATATTTAAAGACAGTTGAAAAAAGACTGTTGTATCAGAGAATGAGGAGAATGGAGAATCTTGATCATGCAGGATTAGGCTTGATGCTAAGAAGAGTAGTGAGTTGTTGAAAGGATTTAAACAGTTTGGCCTACAGGCCTTTAGATGCATTGCTTGCTCTATAGTAAAGCTAAGCAACTGAAGAGAGAGATGGTGGCAGTTTTGTTTGGTTACAGGATACCTTTGCATTCTTAAAATTATTGAGGACCCCAAAGTGCTTTTGTTTATGTTGGTTATATCTATCGATAGCTACTATGCTCAAAATTACAACTGAGAAAAAAATTAAATATTAATTTATTAATTTATTTAAAATAGCTATAATAAACCCATTATATGTTCATGCAAATAAAATCTACACTAATAAAAGAGAAACATGGTAATTGGCGTACGACCGCTACCCTTCCCATTGGCTAATCAGCGAGATATGCAAATTAACTGACAGCCACGATGGCGACCGGCAGCCAGGCAGCTTAAACTGAACATGAGGCTTGCTTGCTTCAGTGACGGCGGACTCCAAAGTTCCCCGCCTGCCGCTGCAGGCTTCTGAGCTTGCTGTTTGAAACATTGTTACAAATGTAGAAGCTAAACAAAACCCCAGAAACCTGCTTTCAGCCAGCTGGGATTTCAGAGCTGTAGCCAAGCCTCAGAGCTAAAGCTCACCCAGAATAAAAAAAAGAAGAAGAAGAAGAAAAGGAGTGGTTGGGAGCTTCAGTCACCCGGCAGCCTGAAAACAGCCCTCAACCCCTCACCCAGACTGGCCAGGCACCCCAGTGGGGACCCCCCACGCTAAAGGGGTGTGGCCAGCATGAAAACAGCCATCAGCCCCTCACTCCGGCTGGCCAAACCTCCATGGGTTGAGGGTCCCTACTGCGGCGGGGGGGACTTGAC